GGGCAATGGAGGATCAGCCCTTTCCGGGGCTCCGTTCCCCAGCGGGCTTGAAACATCTCAGCCGTCGCTGGTATCGACTCAGAGAATCAGGCCGGGTCATCTCAGCCCCATTACTCTCATCCGTGAGTCGCATCAGCCATTCCGCTTCTACTCCCTCCTCTCTCCCCTCCTGAGCTGGGCTCTCTCTCTCTCTCTGTCCCTCTCCAGTGGTCTGGGTAGTCTGAGGGCCCTGCTGCGGCTCTGGGTGCAGGTCACGCTCCCAATGTGGCTGGGCCCCGGCAGTCCCTGTGCAGGGGGTGGGGAGCAGGCATCGGGGAGCACTAATCCGTACGGACCCTCCTGAACAGCCACCTGCAGCCACCAGGAGAGCAGTAATAACCCTGCCCCTGCCCACCGCCCTGCTAGCCCTAGGGACCACTTTACGAGTCCTCCTCTGTCCTCCGCACAATGCTGGGCCCCGACCCCTCCTTTTCCCTCCCCCTAGTCCTCCTGTCTCCCTGCCCCAGAGCCCCCCATCGCTCTGTGCTTCTCCTTTCGTTATCTCAATCTCCCCCCCATCTTTTCCCCTCTCAGTGTCATCTCTCTGACCCATGCTTATGGGGGATGCACGTCCCAAACCCAGAGACTCTTCAGGGCCTGCCTACCCCTCTCCCGGCCACGCTGGGCTCTTCAGGGTCTGGGCAGCTTCCCACTGGTCTATCCCCCAGCTGCTGGAGAGGATGATGGGGACCCAAGCGCAGGGTTTGCAGGTGACGCTGTTTGTCACTGGTGGTTTCCTGTCCTGGAATTCAGACAGATCACTCACCGCCGGGCTGTAAAACCAGCAGGAGGAAGAGAAGGGAAGGCCGTCGAGCCCCCTCCATCCTGACAGCGAGGGGCAGGCAGAGCGGGCGGCCGTCAGTCCGTATAACGGGTGTCCTGACTGAACAGAGACGGAGTGGGTTGGCCGGCAGGGTTTGTTGAGTGGCCGATCCCTGATGGTGCCGAGGGGCTGCAGAGAAATGACCCGCCCCACAGCTCTGCAACTTCCCCCGCGAGATGCTCTTTCCTTTTGTGGTAACTCGTGCAGTGAGCTCAAAGCAGCCCAGGGCGTTGGGTTGGGGACGGCTCC